TTATTAGGTAATGTTTCGTATAAATTTATGTATTATTAAAAATAGATTCCTTTAATTTTCATTATGTCAATAAAATGAGACAACTGATGTAGACAAAAGCTTCAACAATATTATGATTTATGATAATCATAATTGTTGAAAATTATAAACCCTAATTTTATCCTTTGAGTAATCATTAACAATCAAGAATACGTAAAATTTATAGAGGTTGACTTCAATGAGAGATTACATCCTCTCCAACTGTTGCACTAATTCATTTTGATGAAAAAATGTTTATAAGAGAAAATCGCACTCCTATGTTCTCTAGCCTATCTTTCTTTCCCTTCGATGATAATGATAAAGTTTAAGGACGGCTTTCTATTTATATGATAAATTAAGACAAAATCAAATTATACAAAAACTTCAGTTCCTTAATAGAATTTTACAAGAATATAAATTCCTAAGTAGTCATTAGAATAAATTTTGGACAGGGGGCCTCCACAACCCCCCAGGAGGGGGGCCTCCTGGCCCCCCACAACGATCGGCTCCATGAAATGACGATAATTAGGATCGACAATAATTAAGTTTCACAATTTAACAAAAATTACATGTTCATAGCATTAAATGAGCACAAATTAACCAAATGAACAAAAGGCAAACAATCATGGTGATTACAACTACTAAAATTAGAGCTAAGAGAAATAAATACAAATAGGTCATGCTCAATTTCATCTATATCATTCTCATCTATAAACCTCAGTCTTAGATCGTCTCAAGATCACTTTTTTTTTTGTCCAAACCAATCCAATAGAACCTCACTTGTGGCGGAGGAATACCGTGGTTACATACTCGATCATAGACACTACACTAAAAATCAAATAAGATCTGCTATCTTTATCGCTAAACAAGCTAAACAAGACTAATAAAACAAAAACCAAGCCTAACAACCCACCAAAATATCACAAATAAATCAATTACGGAAGTAAGCAATATATTATAAAAGCTACAATATAAATACTCACCAGGTTGTAACTTTTTCCTTGTATTATAGGCAGCTTTGCCTCCCAAAAACTTCTCCGGCGTTGTCGGTATGACCTTATTTCGCTCATTGGTTTTTGCTTATCATCACACATGCAAGTATGTAAATCACATTCAAGAGTACTACTCATGACTTATACTCCCTAGCTACAAAATTCTTTCGTAAATAAAAGTAGGATTAAGATAATAAGTTGTTGCAAGTATGTCAAGCGAAAGATGCTTATTCCATCGTTGCTCAATTATATGAATATAAGGCTTGTACAATCTTTCTTTATTCAAAATATGCTCTTAATTTTCTTCTGATATACATGCATGATGCATGTCATCATACACATACCCTAAAGAAGGCTTTTCATTAGAATTTGTATGGATAACATATACCATATAATAGGAGCCACAATTTTTATGACCATCAAGCAATCTTCCAAAATTTGCTATCTAAAATGACAAACTTTTAAGTGCCATTTGCACTTCTTGAAAGTTCATGGGTTTTGAAAGGTCTACTTGTCTTACAAACCTTGAAGAACATACTTATATGTTTATAAATTGGTTTTCAATATAATAAATTCATGTTTAATTTAGCTAAAAAAGTTGATAAAAAAATAATATAGAGTCAATGATTAATTTTAAATTTATATTTTATGGAGCCACAATTTTATCAAGTTTTCAACTACACGTTTCACAATTTTTATCAAAATCTATTAAATATATGATTTTTAGCATAACCGAACATGAACTAAATGTTGTAGACTATCAAAATATAGTAATTTGTGAAGCAGGAAGTGCAAGGTAGTTCACATAATTCAAGCCACAAGTATCCTTTAAAATAAGATTTAAGCAATGTGCAATACAAGTGCATATGTACTACATTTGTACACTCAACCCATTCAAAATCTCTCTGTGATTAAGTTGAACAATGTTCGAGCATCGTTCACAACATTTTACGCATAAACAAATTCGATAAATAAAATTCCATAAAAGCAATACACTAAAAAAATAATCAAAGTTATATGCCTTTGATCACTCCAACCATCAGCCATTATCTTTGTCGCTTGATAAAGATTGTAACTTTGCATCTAACATTTTAAAGAATTTGTTCATCTTGCATCAAAGTTGTTCTTAGTAATTAACTATGACTTCCACTATTCTCTCCAAGCATTCCACCGTTGCTCAAGCGATCGATCTATACTAGTTCTGATACCAAATATTCATACACAAAATTTCGGTAAAAGAACAAAAGTAGGTTAATTCATGAAAACTTAGGCCCCCAAATGATACTAGGGCTTGAGAAACCAGTAGCCCTTCACATACAGATCGATTGACTCGCACCTTGTCGCAAGGTGATCACCATAAGATACAAATTGTCTCATGGCTCATTAAAAAGTCACGTGCACGTCATGTTAGGTCAGGTTCGTTAAGGGATAAAAATCTCATAACGAATAAAGACGAAAACATATATCAACTTATACTACAAGAATTTTATGTTTTCCCTACATAATTTATTTGTAGGGAAATATTCTAATTTGTGGGGAAAAATCTTCGCAGACAAAAAAATTTTGTATGCACATTTTTGGGGCAAACATCGAGAGGATAGATATAAAGACTACAAATTTTTGAAATTTGTGGGCTAAAACTTTTCCCTACGAAACCTTTGGAGACGAATACAATTCGTCGTGAAAGTTTTCCCGACAAAATCATTAGTCTGCTAAAGTTAATTTTGCCCATGAAACAATTTCATTTTTCCCTACAAATTATATTGTGAGCTAAAACGTGTTTTTCCCTACAAAATAAAATTTTTTGTGTGGAAAGAATATTTGTGGGCTAAACCTTGTATTTCTCTACAAACAATTTTTCGTGGGGAAAACATATTGTAGGCCACTATGAAAAAATTCGTAGGGGAATATTAAATTATTTTCATATATTTTATATTTTATTTATATTGTACTATTGTATTTAACCTTGTTCAAAATAATATAAAGATGCAAAAAGACAATAAATAAATTAAAACATGTAGCGTCAATCAATGTAATATTGAATCCAAAATATTTCACCAAAATACAAATAAAAATCATTCACTAAGTACGGTTAGTAGATTTGAATTTTAATAAAAAAATAAAAAAACGTTCCTTAAAAAAATAAAATAAAATAAAAACTTATTTTAAAATAAACATTATTAAAATTTTTAAAAAAATCATTTTTTAAAATTTATTTTGTATAATGCAAAGTTATTGTTTTACCCATTTTAAAATTAGTGAAAATGGTAAAAAAAAAATTGATAATTATGGTGAAATGTTATATGAAATTATGTAACATGGTGAAACGTTATATGAAATTGGATGACATGATGAAATAAAATCAAATTGTATGGCTATAGTGACACTAAATATAAAGTTGGGTAGTCATGGTGAAACAAAATCAAATTAGATGGTCACTGTGACATTAAATATAAAGCTGGGTGACCATTGGTGAATTTAACCCCAAACTTTTGTGGAACAAGTCCTTCTACTATTGAAAATTTTAAATCAAACCATTGCCCTACAAAACAATTTTTTTTTGGGAAAAGTGAATTCCGCCCATAAATCTCAATTTGTGTGTAGAAATTTTGTTGGGAAAGTATAAATTTCTTATAGTGTTATAAGAGTTTAGGATACTCCTTTTAATAAGTCGATATTTTAAGATGAAACCACAAGTCTTTATATGGTATCAGATTTAATTAAATCCCAACGAACAATTCGATCTATCTGATTAAAACTCAATAAATGAGCACGTGGATTCAAGATTGATTTACTCAAACGAGTCACTATCTTGTTGGGACATGTTAAGAGATAAAAATCTCACATCGAATAATGATAAAAACATAAACCAATTTATAAGATTTTGAACTTCTCTTCTTAATAAAATTAACCTTTCAAAATGGAACCTCGAGTTAGGTACTTTTTTGAAGGGTATTGGCATTTTAATGTGACAAAGTTAGTATTTTTAACGCGAACCACACAATCTGGAAATCACATGCTACCAAATAGAAAGGTTCAAGTCTGTGAATATCAGATATGAAAATTAAAATCCTAGTTGGATAACCCCACCCTAATTTTTTTATATTTTCGGCATGGAAGTATAGATATCGAAGACTACACAAACATTAATTGGACCGACATATGTTTCTCATGGAACTTTCCAATGTTTTGAGTTGGATCTGTCCTAGAAAAGTTTATTCAAGATTATATGGTCCACATATTAAAATGAAGAGATGAAAGATCAAAGTTGGAATATATAGTCAAGGTCTAGATCATAAACTGGTCCTAAACTGTTCGCCTAAAAAATTGGACTTCGACTACTCAACAAAAACGTGCTTATTGACTTTCAAATACTATCACATTAATTAAATTGGAAGCCAAAAGAAAACTTGTAATTCTCATTGTTTATCCAACGAATATTCCAAAAAAAAATAATAATAATAACAATTTTTCGCAAGTGAGATAAAGAAGATAAAAAGGGTATACTTATTTAAAAATTCAATACGTCAAAGATATTCTTATTACGAAAGGTCTATTCGGCTAATTCAAATTTAAATTTGATCACTTCAATACTTCTTTCGACTTAGTTAGAACAAATCTGACATGTGAAAATATTTTAGGTTTTCTTTATAAACAATTTTGGGTCAACTGCGGGATCAATCAGTTACGAGGCAAGTAAAATTTAGAGAAAAGTGCTTTCAAACTTTGCAAAAAGCCCTTCGATTTCCAAACACACTCGTAATCCTTTATCAAAATATGTGCTATATGTTGCAATTACTTAAGCAAATAAACCCATAACTATTCTTTGTCGACTCATAACTAAAACACAGTTTTCTTCCACTATTACAAAAGAAACAAGAAAACAAATGATCAGATCTCAGACCAGATCTCAGATCAGATCAAATTAACATTTTCATCTTAAAAACTATACACATTCAAGTAACAAAAAGTCCAACATCAACCCACATACTAAAACTGATCTTTGATCCAAATTCTAAACTGTTCAACAATTATGCAGAACCAAACGCCTTGAACAAAGCATACAAAAGAACTTCCTCTTGAATGTGAAACATAAGGGCAAACAGAAAAATCTCCATTGAATTCCAACATCCACTGCTTCCACTTTCCCTCCACAGCAAGGGCATGCTCCAGAAGCCTGTTGCCTTCCAACTTCTTTTTCCTCTTTATCACATAGCAACGAACACATTTTTTTTTCTCGCTTTTCACCTTCCACTGCGTGTATCTTTGATCGAGAAAAACTTAGTCAAGACGATCCGACAGCAAAAAGATTCCAAGTTAACTTTGAACGTGGGAGGGGAAGCTGAATATAAAGAATCTGAAGGAAGATTCGGCGCTGGCCCCTTCTTTTAAACTTTTAGGGAAAATCCAGGCTAGCTAGCTAGCTATCTTACGTACGATTCACTTAAAACGGACACGTGAATATCCAACGAAATTTTTTATTTTGTCCTATTATTTTCTCGTTCAAAGAAAAAATTGTAGTAGAAGTCCTCAACTTTAATAATTTTTAGTAACTCGGCTCTCAATTGACATTTTCTAATCATGTTGTTGATATGAAATTTAAGTTTAATTGGAAAGCCAATTACAATTTTATTATTAGAGAAAAAAAAACCTAAGTGCAAATATTCGATTGATTCTGCAAGTGTATGAATTTGAAATTTTTGAGTTTGAATATCGTTCTCACGAAAATTAATATGTATTATCAATTTTTATCCTATCTTAGCTTCATCTAAATTAATGTGGTAAGAGCATTTCCAATGCTCTCTCTATTTCTAAAGAATATATTTTATAATTTAGAGAGAATTCATAAATTTAGAAAGAATTCATAAATTTAGAAAGTTAAAGTTTTTAAGTACTCTACTAAACTCTTTATATTTAACACTTAATATTACTGCTCAAAAAAAAAAATATTTAGTATTTTTCCTATATTTTATTTTCACTAATTTCCCTCCAAATTATTATATTATTTTCCTCAATTGAAAAATTGAAATACTTTGAATGTATTTACTTATAGAGAGTGGTTTGACTCTCGAAATTTGGAGAGTCAAATTCTCTCTAAATTAAAATGCTAATTTAAAAAAAATCTTTTAGAGTATAATTTTAAGGATCGACTCATTAAAATAAAGATATTCTTATGCTTAAAGAGTCTCTCGGAGACACTCTAAAAAATTATCAATTCAAATTTTACTCATTTTTGTTTTCTCAAATTTTGCTCATTTTTTTCAGTTACCGTCCAATTCATGATTTTCTCCTAAAATAATAAAAAACACAAAGCTAAGGGGACGTTCTCTTTGTATTTTTTATTTGTGTTTTGAGTTTTGAATTCATTTTGTGTTTTCTGTTTTAAGTGTCTGTTTTGGAATTGTTGAAAACTCGTTCTCTTTGTCATTCTGAAAAATTGTTTCTCAAAATAGAAAACTTAAAAACACGTTTACTTTGAAATTTTGAAATTTTTTTATAATATTTTATTCAATAAATCTGATCATTCAATAAATTTTAATAATTTAATGTTAATCGATTGAAGAAAAAAATTAATGATGTAACATTGCTAAAATTCTTTCGTCTAATTGAAATGATGTATTATTTATGTGTCCAGAAAAAAAAATGCACATGTTATTTTCATCACATTCTTCATACAAAGATAACAATTTTTTCGAACTATTTGATTTCAGATAAGGAAACCATTTTCACTCTTATGTGCAACTTAAATTTAAAAAATGGTAACATAACATACAACACGGAGTATTTTACAAATATGTAATGATCATTATAATTAATTCAATGAGTTAACAAAATTTATAAAATATGTTTACACGAATAAACAAAAAAATTGCCAAATGTTCTAATTTCTGCCTATGGCAGCCTTCACATAAACAATTCATCACACACTTTGCCGTCTTCAATCCAAAGCCATGATCAGCGCAACTTTTTTTTCGAATGGTGGTAATCACACGATTAAACACTAATTGTAAGATCGACCTGGGCATCCTCCATTAGCAAGATTCTGTTTAGGACTGGAAGAAACACTTGAACTGGCAATACTGCCATTTCCAGCAGATTTGGAAAGCTCTACATTCATTTCAGAAATTTTCTTGACTTATTTCTCGTGGACCTGTTAAAATCAAAACGCAAGAATTAGAATCATCATGTAACTTAACTGAAACAGTTATAAACAACAAAAAGCGATCAATTGAAATTGATTATTCACTTTAAAATTGGGCAAAAGGGAGATAGCAAGTGATATGAAACCTTAATTGACAAAAAATTGATCATAGAACATGAAATCAGCAACACCATAATAGTATACCTTCCATTCGGAGTTTGGTACCCTTAAAAACCACTTGATACCAATCATATCTGCAACTGAATACAGTCCAAGGCCAGCAACATTTGCTAAATATATGAAAAT